TTTAGTAATATTATAGTGATATAATATTATGTTTTATAAATGTATTGTATATACATATGTAGCATATTTGTGCGTAATGTATCATGGATTGTATAAAGAGAAAGTTTTCGTATTACTTTAAGTGAGCTTTAAGGATCATTTTAATTTTGATTGGTAACGCAGTTTTCCATATGCTTCCATAAAGAAAATACCGAAATCTTATTTACTCACACGAAACTCCGCACGACAAGTGCCCTTATTAAGTTATTACATCTTCAACTATTTATTATTTATAGTTAAATTCTTACATAGTCAGCAATAAACTTGTCTGTTTATTTTCAGAGTACGTGTTTTCTTGTTATCTCAGTAATTATCCAGCATGTTTGAATCGTTTTGTTTATTGCACGTAAAATACAAAGATTTTATATATTTTTACATTTTATATTTCTATTGAATTTTATATTATTTACTCATACTTATATCGTATAGATGGAGAATGGTTAACAAACTAAATGAAAGGAGGAAGAGATATTTTATTGAGAGTATTTATCAATCACTCAAAATATTTCTCGCATTTTAATTCTAATCACGAAGGTTGTAATCAAGACGTCCAATACTTACACTACTGATAAACTAATACAACGTAATGTACATTTGTATAAATCCTTCAAGTATTCGTTATTCGATCTTTCCCACCAATGTGCTTTGTATGCGTAAGCTTTAACAGTGAATGCGTGCACAATTATTAATATAATATTTTTATCGCGCTTGATAACTAACAGTGTAATACAATTATGCGATTGTAGCATCTTTTTTCTCTCTTTTTCTCTTTTTCTCTTTTTTTTTTTTTTGTTATCAGGATCGAACGGATAGGATATTTCAGAATCTGTGATCAATATATATCGACACGTATAAGCAGCATGAAATTTGCGATTATACTAAGATGCAAATATTTTTTATACGAATTGGTGTATATGCTCAGACGGTAGCCGATCGTATTTAATGTACCGAGAGACGAAATTAGTGGTAGAACTTAGTACATGGTTCGACAAATTTTCCGAATATCAAAACGTTCGATGACAGTAAATCGCAAGATTTTTATGCAATATTTATTGGAACGGTTGTTCGTTGTTATTGGAGCTAATTATTCGTTCGAATACGAAATGAATATTATACATAAGAATGGAATGTGATTAATTTTATTTCTCTATTTCTTATAGTCAACTTTAAATTTCTTGAAAAATTGTTGGCATCACATATCACGTACAATACGAAAACGTAACATAATCTTATAAAAAGTGCGATTCTGTAATGAGGAAACAATTCAACATTTTCGGAGATTTTATACGTTTACGTTATCATCTGGCAACACATCCGATATGTTGTCGTATCATCTTATACCAATTTCACAAATAGATGATACATTGATTTTACGTGTTGAAAAGAATCCGATTTACAGCGCGAGTTTTGCTTGAATTTTATCTAAAATTCAAGCTGCAGCTCAATATTTATGGCTATCAAATGTCCAATTTTACACCGTTTCCTTGAAAGAAAATAAGTCTTCCTGTGTCTATTCCTGCCACGCGTTGACTGCCCTGAAAATATTTTTTACCAAACCTTCACGATTTTTCATCACATTTGTATGCTAATGTATACGATTATAACTGCAACATTACTTTCATGGTTAGTGAAAATTATTTTTAAAATCTTTTATTAACCGTAACAACTAAGTACCATATTGATGCCAGTTAGTATTATCTGATTGTACCTAATAACAAAAAAAGAAATATCGCAATTATCAAATACGATAAAAGTTACAATAAAAATCACATGGTATGAATAAAACTGTCAATTCCTTAAGATCAGAACAATTTGTGTGGTAAAGTTTCGTACAGTGTATGAAACCGAATTATAATAAATTAAATTTTATTAAAAGATTTCGAATATACAATATGGATTCGTAGGCCTTTGGAAATCTAAACGATTAAGAAATTTGAAAAAAAGAAACAATTAAACACTACTTAATAGAATTCGAGTTTTGGAGAAACTCAATGAGAAAACAAAACGAGCTCCAATTTGATCTTAAAGATATGAATTCATGAATAACGACAGAAAGTTTTCTTATAGGCTTGCATACGGTAATAATAATAGACATCGTAATTTAAATTGTTCTCTTTTAAACGACAACAAAGTATCAAAATTAACAATAAACACAAGACTACAGTATATTGAGAAAGAAAATTCTTAAACAATCTACTATGTAATTCGTAATCTATTTATAATTACTAGCAGAATAATGAACATGGAACATGTTTTCTTTGTTTTTCATGTGACTAATTTATCGATCACTGTAGGATTCCTTGGTTACGATAACAATATATAAAAAACTGTATTGTATCATTCAATTTCCTTCGTTTCTTTTGCAATGGTTTTGATACCAAATGTTATAGCCCGTAATTTATAAATACGTATACTTCTATTTATATAAGCATCTCCTTTATATACATATAAATACATATATTGAATATATGTGTGTGTATATATATATGCGTTATATGATATGTACATACATATATTTGCAACGTGACGATACACGGACCGTCGGCGATCTTTGTAATATTATAATATATATGTATATGTGACACTCTGATTAATATGTATAATATAAGGGATGTATCGGTATTGCTGTGAAACTGTTCCAGCAACACACGAACGCCCATATAATAAATATTAACGTATCGACGTTCGTTATTCTTTGTAAGCCTTCTTTCTTGTAAAACGTACAAGTTGTCTTATGTAGGAGAGCAAGGAAATAAAGTCGATTGTAACGAAAGCTTCTTTCATCAATTCTCTTTTATTCAAGTAAGAAATTAATAGAGAGTGATTGTTTTACATATATCATTATTATTAACGCATCTACGTTATATACATATGTTTTATATAACACCCGTACGTCACTGATATCACGTTTCATCGGAAGTTTGCTTTTTTGGGGTACTTATCTTTAATATTTTATTTTTTCTGCTTTATCTCTAGAGAAATCAAATTTTTATTTCTTCTTGAAGAAATTTTTATGGCTGATTCTTGTTTCGCATGGAAATAATTTTGAATAGCTTTTCTGCCAATATTCAAAATTCTCTTCCGACATATAACATGCGATCGATTATAAAAATATTCAAACTTATGTTCAATTTTTACTGGTAAGCTTTATAGTTTAGATAAATACGTAAGCGTAATAAACACTAAAGAGGAATTAAAAAATTGTTTGGCAAAAGAATGACAGAAAATTAACATTCGTTATTTACATAAAATAATTTGTGATATACCAAACTGTTTAAAACGTAAAGAATATATAACCCAATAAATGTTAAAATTTTGTTAAAAAAACCTATTGCAATTTTATGATTCGAATTTTTAGTGCTCAAATATTGTCGTAATAAAAAGATTCAGAATTTTTAATTTTAAATTATTTAAAAAAATCGGTGTAATTTTATTTTGCAAGATATAATTTGTAATTTATCTTATTTAGTCGGATTGAAATATTTTTATTCTTTTCATTTGTTAGTAATTTGTTTTACGAGAAGAATGTTTATCTTATAGGTATATACGTATAGTATTGTGTTTGATTAATTAATTTATTATTATAATTGTATCTGTCTTTTGTAGCACTTTTCTAAAGCAATTAGTATGATACGCGATGTTATTTTTATTTGTGCATGTAAATATTGTGTTGAACAGCAATGTTTTTTAAACTCGAGGTCTTGAGGTCCTCAGTAGGTCATATAATCGATATTATTGATTGTGATAAGAATACTATAAAATAAAATAAGGTTGTTAATTTAAGATGATAAGTTTACAGAATATAAATAGAATGTAAACTTGTAATAATTTCTGAACTACTTATGATAGTAGTCTGAACTACTATAGTGTAGTAGTAGACTTATGATCCTTCTTTTATAGAGCATGAAAATTACATCAAACGTAACAGTTTTATTTTTAACAAGTGAAGTTTCTGAACCAGCTAAAAGTGTAGCCAAACTGTTCGATTTAGTTTGTGTATCGTAAACAAATTATATGAACGAATAAATCTAAAAGCCTAATTATAGTATAAATCAAATTATCAGTAAATATTGTCAATTATAATCATTTGTGTAGAAACTATTTCTACGAGTTATAATACAAAGAAACTTCAACGTAACTAAAAACAATTTCAGAACAGTGATGTGACATATAATAAAATTTAATGATATTATACAAATCGATCATAATATTAATGCTCTGAGAACTTGTCTATTGTTTGAACTTCTACAGAAGTGTCTTCTAATTCACAAGGTATTGCTTTGTATTTTATGAACTATTTCAATTACTATTTCACATATACATATATTTATATACATGTATATGAAATTTAGCAAAATTTTATTGTATTTGAAATTTTCTTATTATCTATAACATTATAATCAAAATATTTCAAAGCTTTTGTGTGAAATTACGTAAGGGCCTTATACGTACACAAAAGAGTAGGTAGGTACTGCTTATCATTAATGTCAATAAAAACTGACAGTGGCTGAAGGTAAGTTAGAAAATACTTTCATCGATAACGGTTATCAGTAACAAAAAAAGAATTCCACCATCGATAATGATGATTGGGGATCAAAACGACAGAGGAAGTACAGAACCAAAACAAATTTCGTCATCGATAATGATTATTGATAATCAAACAGAAGTCTTTCATCGATAATGGTTGCTAGTAACTAAAAATATTTGATCATTTATAATGGTTATTCGTAATCAGAACATTTAAAAATGTAATATTTTTTAATCATTTAACTTTTTAAGAGTTTCTTTAAGATTTAGTGATCATTTAAATAAAAATTATCCTTTTGTTAATAACTTCTTTCATGCAAATTTTAGAAACTACTGTTATCGTTAGTCCTGGTTTGCTTTTACTCCATTGGGAAAATTCTAATTTTCGATTGTTACTTATACAAGAAATTGTAATTGTATGCTGAATTAAATTGTTCATACTATAATGTATTTATTCTTTATTGTAAATTAACATCGATACATATATAATCAGGTCGACCCAGATTTCTTACGATGGTTACAAAATCAACGAATGAAAAGCTTTTTACATTAATCTTTTGGCATAAAACATGTAATTACTTGCTAAATAAATAGTTACATTCTTAACTGGATGTTAACAATTACGGGTAACAATGTTATATGATTTAGTATTACAAAACTTTTGCATTTCAAAGCTCCATTACCATTGTCTGCTACATGTTACGAATGTATATAATCTAAGATCAGGTATATAATATCTAGTACTCAAAATTAATTAACGACAAACGCAACGAAAACATGGCGTATATAGCTTTATTCACGAGCCTTATCTTTTTATAGTATCTTGCAACAAATTATCTAACAAACATCTTAAACAAGCCTTAAAGTTGCTATAATATAGGCATTAAAGCCGATACAATTATAATAACGAATAAATTAATTAAATACGATACTATGTATACATATTAGATAAATGTGTTTATGTGTATTTGCTTGTATCTCGAAGTGCTTTTATGTAATTAATTATCTTTTCTCATTGGGACGAAAATGCTATAAACGATACTATGAAGAAAAAACATTATACTGTACATATACAATTTTAATAAAAGAATTGCTACAGAATCAACTGAATGAAAAACTAATTCATAGAATAATAAAACATTTCACTTAATGATAATCTGATTTCGTCCACTTTTTGTAATATTGAAACATAAAGTATTATAATACTTATCAATGTATTATTCGTGTTATGCTAATTTGTATTTCACTTGTTATTCTTTAATTATTTTTACCATAAATAATTTTGATATTTTAACCAGGATGTTACATATTAGCGTTTAGAGCGTTGTTTAACTATGGCAATATGAATTTAATTTGAACAACATATGTGTGTTTTAATCCACGTTATTTGTTACTTTACTTACGTAAAAATGTTTTGAAAATTTATGCATTTTAACATAGTATTTTAGATGGCCGACAGTTTTCAGTAGCATTACATTAATTTTCAAAGTTTTCGAAACATTACAAGAATTTTAAGATCACATTACAATCTATAAATGATGAAACATTAACATAAATTCTGATTCTTACTTATGATAGCAATCATTGTTGTATGTATATTTTATAAAATAATATATGGAAAGAGGTGTTTTATAAATCATCGATAAAGAAATTTTTCTTAAATATTCGTGTTCGATCTGAAAGTACTTTTTAAAATGATTAAGTAATGATAAAATTAACGGTAACAAGTAATAGATATATAGTTTCTAAATATTGATTAATAATAATAATACATGCATATCTTGCAAAACCTTTAAAGGTATTTTTTTCGTTACTTCTGAAGAATAATGTTCAGTAAAACGTTGATAGAAAGAATCTACTAATTTCTTTCCAAGTTGTATATACATGTTATTGTAAGAAATATAAATACAATTGAACTTTCGTGTCACGTATAAGAAGAATCTTTAAAAACATAATATTACCAATTTAATAGAAACCTAATATAAATATTGTATTTTCTTAAGACGTTTAAAAGAAAATTTAGTTTCAAGTGTATAATACCAAGACAAATATCTTTTTCACCTTCAGACGTTTCATTGTATATATATCGTATCTTCTTATAAGTTATCGTTGCTTAAGCGAGTTTTAGTGACTTTTACGTGTAAATATCTATAGAAACATAATGTAATACATCTATCAATCGTGTCAATTGGTATTTACGACAATTGAGTTTTATTGTAAAACAATTAAAAGGAATGATAGTCTATATTGTGTTGATAATGTTTTTTTCGTGGATTATACTTTTTCATTTCAATCGTTTATATTTACATTAAACTACATATATTTCAAGTAACGTAACATTAAATGGCTATGGCAAATGAATTGTATGGGAGAAAATTTCTTCCTTGTGATAAATAACAATAACGAAGACTAAATTTCTTGACTAGCCTGGAGCCATTAAATTTTCGTAAATTTTCAAACCACACACATTAATGCATATTCTTCCAAATTTTACGGCAGTATGTTTTTTGTTACATGAAATAACAATAACAGTGTAAATCATAGTAAGACGAAAAAGAACGAAATTCTTCATGCAAAGAGAACATATGTATTGTTTTGTACTGTTTCGTTTTTACGAAAAAATATTTTGAAAATTTACTTGATACACATACGATGAGACGTAATTTAATTTAACCCTTCGTACTGCAAAAATTTTTATGATATAATCGACTAGAAAGACCAGTACTTCTATAACAAAGCTTTTTGGAGTCAAGGAGTAATATTTTCATATTAATATTCGTTGTAGCTGTAGTTACTCATCTTTTTATTAAAACTTTATTTCTTTCTGCATGAAAGATTATCTCCCTCTTAATCGCATTAACAAATTATGCCATCCTATCATTCTATGCATCCCATGTTGAAATCCTTCATCAAAATAAGGTATGAAATTTGATAATGGAATTATTTACAAAATGTTCAATATTCATATTAAACTAGTGATGGAAATAGTGAAAAGTTCTTTCCTAATATTTAATAGGCCGCCGTTTTTACTTAAATTAACCCTTTTACGATGTAATAAAATAACAAAGCATTCGGAACAAGTGACTTAGAAAGTAATTATCTTTTTGTTGTCAAGATCTTTTAAGATTTGTGACGTCATACATTTTACTTTTTTTAGCAAATCAATTTTGATAATTCCTTTATATATAACAATATTATAATTAGAAGAAGTAAAATTTGCTACATTCTCTTTGACATGTATCAAAGAGAGTGACAGGCTGTATTTTCGTATTACACCGAGAATGGATTACATCGACGAAACAAAATTTGTTTCTTTGAATATATCTAACGAGTTTGCGGCGGTCGTACCTTAATTCGTTGTTTCTGCGTGCGAGGTGAACGCGATGTTACGCGAAATTCAAGAGGTAAGTCGTAGCAGCGACAAACACAGCAACTGGGGAACTTAAACCAATCGCTGAAGATACCACGACATTCGTTGTTCGGATCGTAAGCTAACAACCGATGAAGTCTGTATTGTTGTTCGCATCTGCATCCATCTCGACAGTACATCTGCTTGTTTTCGTGTCTTTAAACAAACAAAATGATAGTCAATAATCCCATGTAATTGTTCAAGTTACTGAAGATGAGAATCTTAAAGCGGTACATATCTTATTTGAAGCATTTTCTTCAAGGTTTTTGTAAGAGATCTATGCAGTTTATTTTATCGGCATTTTGAAAAAAATATATGAAGGAATAATAACGTTTACTGTCTTCTTTTACAAGTGTTTTAAGAACTAATTAAAACTGAAAAACTGAAAAATATTTGTTGAAATACATGTATAAGTGTATTGATCCACTTAAAGTAATGAAATGCATATCAATATAAATAAATTGGACAGCTTTGATTTCAAAACAGTTCTCTTTCAAAGCGACACGATATGATAATAAACTAACAGATGGAAATATATATTATAATTACTAGACCACGGATTCTTATGCATTTATGGGAAATTTAAAAATGCACATAATACGTAAAAATATATAAAATATACAAAGTTTTACACTTATCTATTGTAATAGTTGATAAATAAACCAAACTGTTTAAGTTCTATTTCTTTATATGTTTTTATAAAAATATGAATTTGCATAAATATCCACAATTCCATAATTACTTATTTTTCATGACATTTTTAGAAAACCTGTTTAAAAGTGTTACAGTGTTGATATTGTATAATATTGTTGATGTAATGTGTAATACTATAATATCAACAAGTATTTAATTAGTGTTATCTTATACTAACAAATATTTCAAATATTTTACAAAAGCATGAATTAGAATGTACAATTTGAAGTGATAGAGCAGTTAAGATATTATAATACTCACGTGCATTTTTCCCAGTGAACGTATTGCTCGAACGGATAAAGATTCAAAAGTGCCAATACCTCGCCCCTGGTATTATTCGCCCAAAATGGCGCAACCACTTCCTCTTTTACAGGACAAGCATTTCTGAAATATTTTTAGTATATGTAGAAGATAGATTATATCTGTTACATATACACTTATATACGCGAAGTTCAAGAGGTAAATCGTAACAGACTATAATTGTGAAATTGTACAGCGCATTTTTTAATTTCACTTCTCTACACTTATTTCTCTATTCTTATTTTTTTTTAATAAAATCTCTTACAAAGTATGAATATCATTAATGAGATTTTACTGTTTGAGGAAAGAAACCTTAATCGCCCTAGTGATTTCTTAAAATAAAATATAAATTTACTGTTACATATTAATTATAAATAAGTAAAGAAATATTACCATAAATAGGTAAGAAATATTTTATATGCATTTTAAAACAATATCGATTAGGTATACATTATGCAGAAGACTCTTACTTCGATGTAGGTATGACCTACATAAGTATGCTATGATATGAAATGTATTGAATATAACTGTACTCATAGCAATGCAAATAAAGATGTAACAAAATTCGATTTTAATAAGTATAACTTCTTAATCACATAAACTAATACATAAATGATCATATCAATATATATATAGGGCGTTTAGAAATTATTTGTCAAGAGCATCATAGCCTTATTCTATAGCTCTACATCGGTGAAAATCTGTAAAAGAAAGTAGCCGTAAAATTGATCTTGACCTTGAAATTCAAGGTTGAATTTTTGGTTGCACCGTATTCTACACATCGTGAGGATCAAAGGTCTCAAAGGAACCATGGTACTCAATCATTCTCTCGTACTCAACCTTTCTCCTAGAAAAAAAATGGCATTAGTTTCTCAGCTCGCTTTAGTTATAATGTGTTTACATTTTGTAGTTAGATGCTGGGAAAATAGTATCTAATCCAGATCTATCATTATGTATCCAATATCTTCCTTTCTTTTTTCTTCCTTTCCTTCTCGCTATTTAAGTAGTCTCAAACTCGCATTTCTACATTCCGATCAAGTTTCTCTCCACGATCGTGCATTGACTTTAGATGATGATAGCGATATTCGAGCCAATGTTTCAATTGTTCAACGCATATAACCCATTCATTCAAACGATGAACAATTTCTTTCACGCAATTTTACGTAATTTCGTACCCAAAGGAAGAAATCCATTGGTCAAAACTAGTGAACGAGGAGGCCATAAGCAAGCAGCAGATTTGCATACTGCCCGTCGCGACCCAAACATTTCATTTCACCAGTGTGAGATCGAGCACCATCATCGACCGATTCGCCAATGTTTTCGTCGTTTAAAATTGATGCGTAGTCTTAGGAAGAAACACGACCGGAATATAAAATTGTGAATCCGCTTAAATAGCTGCTTATATAGCGAGGAAGAAAAGAAGAAAAAGGAAGAAATGAAGATACGGGATATGTAATGGTAGATCTAGGGTAACTACGTACGAAAATAGATGATATTTTCCCAGCATCTAAACACGTTACAGTTAAAGCAAGCTGGGAAATTAATGGAACTTTAATATTTTTTTCCAGGAGAACGCTTAAGAAGTTGCGACCTACGCTTCCTTTGAGACTTTTCGTCCTCGTTATGAGTAGAATAAGACGCAACAAAAAATTTCACTTTGAATTTCTAGCTCAAGGCCAATTTTGCGTCTACTTTCTTTTACAGATTTTTACCGATGCGAGGTGTAGAATAAGGCTACGATGCACGTGACAAATAGTTCTCGAATACCGTCTTCTTACCTAAAAGAAATTTATTCATTGATCTACCGTTCCTCCTTTTCCTGTCTATTTTCCTGTCGTTCTCTTCTATCATCTTAAAAAATAATTTCGCGTTTTCAGCTTATGTCGTTCTATTGTTTTAATCATAGGCAAGTGTTAAGGAAGTATTAGGAGTGTGTTGAACAAGAGTGAAACACCTTCGATAAATTCACAACTAATGCAAACAAACCGAGAGACACTTACACTCCTCGAAGCTTCAAAACCGGTTGTTCCTGTTGATCTTTCGCGGCGGCGTCCTGATACAACTGTCCTCCCATAGTCGAAGCTTCCGGCTTAATGGCAGGTCGATATTCCGGTCGAGGCCTGAACTCTTGTTCGTCGATCGAACTCAACGTCTCGTCCTGAACAGTTGTTCCTTTCGGCGTCGCAAATAGACTTTCGCTGCCATCGACTTCATCCGGAAATTCGGTGGTGTCCGACAAATTTACCGTCGACGTTTCATCGAGGCTGGATTCAGAGATCTCTACGACTTCGCCAGCTTCTCCCACCACCTCGTCGACTCTGTCTATCTGCTCGAGAATTTCGTTGATGCTGAAATTTTGCTCTTTCACGGCGTAAGAGCTTGTCGTCGCTTCGTCCGCGGAGTTTCCTTTTTCTTCATTTGTCCTATTTACTATTAAACTCGTTATCGAAGGCGTGGATTGAGTGGTTGTTTCACGGGTAGGCGAAGCAGTTGACGTTATCGTCGATGATGTCTTTTCCTTGGTAAAAGAGGCGGTAGTCGTCGATGCTGTGGTTGTGCTAGTGGTCGTTGTCGAAGTTGAAGTAGTAGTCTTCTCGGTTGGTCGGAAATGAGGCCTCGTGTATTCGCTTAATTTTGGAAATTTGTTTACCCGTTTCGCGGCATTGTCATTGAAGGATCTACTCGTAAAGCTTCGTCCCTCGAACTCATTGCCGTTTAATTTCAAATCGTCTTCGGACTCGAAGTACTCGTAGTCGTGCATGTACTGATATTTTCTAAAATATTGTTCGTGAATAGGTTACGCATTGTATAAGAAAACAATGTACTAAGAAAGAAATTCGTTAAAATGTATTAAGTCTGGAATACACAGTCAGGGACAAAATTGAGTGGTCATTCGTCTACTTTATTAAATACTGTTGTACCTAATTACATAATATTTATTACCACTACTTATTTTATTTCAAAAACTTACCTATGATCGTCAGCAAGATGCTGGTAATAATCGTCGTAGTTTAACTCGATGTCATTTCTCTCGAATTCGGCTCTTAATACATTGATATGCCTTTCATCGCCATACATGCGCCTCATTAATCCTTTGTTTTCTTGCACGAAACGACGAACCGCATGCCTAAAATTATATAATAAATATCTTCAGATAGTTCGTTCTATTATATTGATTTTGGTGATAACTTTTAGAAGAATTTCTATCATCATGATGTTTGATAAATTTAAGGTATATTATAATTCATACGGATATTTTGTAGTCTAAACTCATACTGAAATTTCGATTCTCTTGCTACTAAAATATTCGATCTAAGTGTTATTCTTCAATAATATTTAAGCAATATTTTTTACTTTCACGTCGAGTAATATATGAAACGTATAGTATTCTTAAATTTCTAACATGTATGTACGTATGTATTACTGCACGTGTGATTTAAAATTAATAGATAATAAAATATTTAAAAAATATTATTATTATTGTTAATTTAATATACTATTAATTGAAAGTATTTACTAAAAATTACAAAATATTTTGGGAACATTCTTAAATAGAGAAATGACATTATAAAAATAGTTTCTTTATTGGCTTTATAGAATAGAACACAAATTTTCTTTTCTTTTATCTATATACATATGATGGTTTCTCTAAAGAAAAAATTCTGTAATTATCAAATGTTTTCAAATAATTCAGTAAAGCGTCTAAATATTTATTTCAAAATATGTTGATGTATTTTCGTGGGTCTATCTTCGTAAATGTATTTTCAATTTTCGACTATATTCATACAAAGTATGCATAATTGTACTATAGCTCAATATGTAATCTTTAACGTCTTTAAACCTAACATGTTAAACAAACAATGCACAAGCGCAACGCAAACTTTTATTTTCTTATAAGTATTTTATCAATATTTAGTTCTATTATAGATATAAATATGTATATTTAGTTATAAAAACGTCTAAACGTTGAGGTACATATACATGTGTATATTCAGTGAAAGTTGCTAAACTGGAAACCTAAGTATCTCTATCTTATTTAAATCATTTATTATTTAAAGAAGTTCTATTTAAATTTCTTTATTTATATTTGAAACACCTGATGTATTTCCACTGCTTTGTACCAAACAAAATTCTTTATTCTTTTAATCTTAAATTTAATTTTTAATTTTTCTAATTTCTTTAGTTTAAATTTACGAACAATTTATTATCGTTTAATAAATCTGTTCAGTTGAACTAAAATTCAGTTAAACGATGCACATAGTTACAACAGACAATATTAACTATTTGTGTCAATGAGGTTGAACATATATAACAAATTTATTAAATCAGGAATGAAATGTGAAATGAAATGAATATTATTTTACGCAGTTGTCATTGCTTGGAGCCTTTTGTACCATCGAAATTATAGCATGTCAAGTTTGTGTACGCATTGTCGAGAGTAAAAGTACGTTGTTTCCTCAATACTCTCACAGTTTAGTCACGTAGGATTTTAATAATTGAAGCTTCAATGTCCTGCTTAAAATTCAGATCAGCAATGATACCTTTGAATAGTGAAACTCCCAGAATATGTCTCTGGCCGTATTGTCAATTAACTTTCTACTGTCAATGAATTCAGCGTAACTTTTTATTGATATTCGTTTCTTGATATTATCAGTTTGTGATCCAATTAATTAGTACACTAAAATTCTTGGTGTTTGATTATTTAATTTCTGGACATTATTGCAGATCCTCGAATTTGAATTTTATGTGTTTCGTTTATCTCAGATAGTTTAATATCTTAGCTACTTTTATCGATACGAAAACTTGTGTCAGAACAAGGTTAATTACTTCAAAACGATGAATATCATGATTCATGATTTTCTTCTTTAAGATCCTTTATCCTCTTCCACAAATCATGATAATATAAATACAATTTTTTGTTCAATATATGAAGTACATAACATCACTTCGATTTCCAAAATAAAATACATTTAGTATCACACGTTAAGTGTATTATAATTAATACATGAAATATATTAAATATAATATATGTCTGAAAGTTACATCTGAATTGGAAATCTTCAGTTCTGTATATTTGTCAGTAAGCCGGCAATATTGCACAAAGAACTATTTAAAAGCTAATATCGGTTTATTTAAGCATTTCATTGGACAAATGATTTTATTGGCTTACCAGGGATAAGAGCTACCAGCTACTGTACACCAGTTTTGCTGTTGAAAATCACAAGGAAGATTTACCAATCTTGCGCGGCCAGCTCTGGAATATGGTTTACTGCAAGCCGAGGATGCGTCATATCCAAAGGTGCTTGGTCCACCTCCTTGACATCTTACAAGCTGATATGTGATCACCTACGCAAAGATGGAATTAATGTTAGATACACTTACGTATGCTGCCTCGCTTTCTTCTAAATTCTTAAACGCAATATAATGTATTTAAAAGGAACAGGTTTTAGTAATCTTATATCTGTTTATTCCTTAATCGATTAATCTAACTACTTCCTCGATCTCGAACTACGTCATAGACTATGTTTCTTCTGTGAACTTTCATACATGCTTCGAATATTACCGGGTGTACCTTAAGTATGTGTTTGAAACTTTCTATTTTGAGGAGGAAGGATAAGATGTAGAATGCATCATAATATGTATTTTTATGCAGAGTAAAGAGTAAATAAACGCATAGTAAATATAATAGAACTTATTCTCCGATAATCATTTGGATAAAGGCAACTAGGTACAATAATTTCTTTACATAAATTTTTGCTCTGGAAGTTTATCTACAGCAGAAATCCAGTTGAATACATTTTATAACATTCTAAGTAATATTTTGATATGTAGGAAAAAATTACCATAAGGATAATTTCAAATCTATCCTTTATTATTTTTTAAGTGTTGTATCTTCTATTCATTTACAGGTCTGAAATATTTTGATACTGTTGACCTTCTCATTTCTTTGATAAAATAGAAAAATGTTAAAATTGATATGATTCTCCGAATAGTTATTTTACATCTTCTTTCATATTTCTTTATACATTCATGATATATATCAGTCGCGAAATTATTTTTTCATTCAATAGGTATCTTTGAAACGCAATTATAAATTATCTATAACAATTACAAAAGATATATTGATTTAAAAAAAACCTACAAGATACATATTTGTATTCAAAATAATCCGATCCAGAGAGGCGATCACCCCCTTCCCAATAAGGGGAAGAAGATACAGAGTAATAAGATACAAAAATATCGTGTCACGTTCTGAAAAATTTGTTAGTAACATGTACAATTAATGTAAATTTGATCATTCCGACTACAGTATCAGTGTTCTTTTTCCCTTACGACAATTTGTATAAAGAATACTTAGAATGCTTTAATCATGACAATATATCTTACGCATTTCACTTCACAGATTTGCGGTGATAATACATGTTTCCAATCTATTATTATAATTTCTATGTTATGAATGTTCAAATGAAGTTATATAAGCTCCCTCAAGCTCTTTAAAAGAAAGCTTTTACTTATAGGAAAGCGTACTGGACATCGATAATACACGTTTACATAGCTTAAGGGTATAAGCTTACCGTAACATACGTTTACAAATAAAGGAATAAACACGCGGGATCTGTATACTTATTACTGGACTTAGTAAAACCTTGCGACGAACAGAGGAGTTTAAAACGTGAAACATATAGTAACGCTCACCTGGAGGACGAGATGCACAATCACATTCATAACTCGCGTTTGATGTTAATTCGAAGCTTTGGACCGGCGAGCGAGGTCCAAGAGTATTAATCGGTGATCACGCTACTAGTCTGCAGACGTAAACCGTTTTCACTGACAGGACGTTTGCCGGCGTAAAAAAGGACAGGGACAGGCGGTACGGTGGTTCGCGGCTACATGACAGCACCTCCGCGCGCGAGGAGGACGCTTTCATTACTGACCGTGTAATCAGCCGGCGTCGCGTGCAATGCCAGGGGTTCGGGTTCGCTCGGTAAAAGTACAGAGCAGCAGGGAAGCAGAGAACAGCGAACCGCTCGCGTTCGAC